ATCAGGGTCGCTCAGTCCACTGCCAGACTGCAGCTCCGTGTGTCTCCTTTTTTGGTATTTTCACGCAAATTCTTCTGCTAGTTGGGGTTTAGTCCACTTTTGTATCCTTCCCTTCAAGGCTCAGGGGTCCAAGATTATCTTCTGTGTCTGTGTTAATTGGTTTCCTTCCCTTTTCTTTGTTGAAGAGTGTCTGTGCAGTCCTTGTGCCTAGTCCGCCATCTTTCCGGAACTCTAAAAATTAAATTCTTATGTGCATCAAAAGACTTCTCCAAAAGAGTGAAAAGAGAACCTATAGATTGGGAAAAAATATTTGGCAATGACATATCTGACAAAGGACTTATCTCTGAAATTTATAGAAAACGCCAACTCCACAACATTAAAAAGACAAACAATCCAATTTAAAAATGGGTAGAAGACCTGAATGGACACTTCACCAAAAAAGATATTCAGGCAGCCAACACTCTTGAAGAAATGTTCATGATCATTAGCCATTAAAACCAAACTCACTGCCATTGAGTTGATTCTGACTCTTAGCAACCCCTATTGTGTTTCCGAAGTGGTAAATCTTTACCGAAGTAGATTGCCCCATTTTTCTTTGGTGGAGCAGCTGGTGGGTGTGAACCACCAACCTTCTGATTAGCAGTCAAATGCCTTAGGCACTACACCACCAGAGCTCCTTCATTAGCCATTGTGATGTTGTTATTATGTGCCATTGAGTCGGACCTGACTCATAGCGACCCCACCTTGGGTTTCCGAGGCAGTATCACTACCGAAGTAGATTGCCCCATCTTCCTTCCGAGGAGTGGCTGATGGGTTTGAACTGCCAGCCTTCTGGTTAGCAGTCAAGTACCTTTAGGCACTACACTAGCCATTAGAGTGATGCAAATCAAAACAACAATGAGATACCGTCTCACTCCAGCATTAATAGCAAAGTTCAAGAAGACAGAAAATTACAAATGCTGGTGAGGATGTGGAGAGATTGGGACTCTCATTCACTACTGGTGGGACTGTAAAATGACACAACATTATGAAAATTGGTATGATGATTCCTTAAAAAGTTGGAAATAAAAATATCATTTGATCTGGCAATCCCATTACTAGGTATATATCCTAAAGAAGTGAGAACCAGAACATGAACAGATATATGCATGCCCATGTTCATTGCAGCACTATTCACAATAGCAAAGAGATGGAAACAACCTAAATTATGCCCATCAATGGAGGAGTGGGTAACCAATTGTGGTACATACACACAATGGAATACTAGACAACACTAAAGAATAATGTAGAATCTGCAAAACACCGCATAACGTGGATGAACTTGGAGGACACAGAAGGACAAATATCGTATTAGTCCACTATTGTAAAAAGTCAAGGAAAGGTTTATTGTAAAAAGACATGGAAAGAAACTTTCTTTATTGGTTACTAGGAATAGGAGTGGTGTGGGCATAAATTCTTAGATAGGTTGGTAAGAAAAAAAAATACATATATATATATTTATGGGAGCTCTGGTGAGGGAGTGCCTAAGACTGCTAACCAGAAGGCTGGCAGTTCAAACCCACCAGCAACTCCTCGGAAGGAAGGTTGGGCAATCTACTTCTGTAGTGATACCACCTCGGAAACCCAAGGAGGGGTCACTATGAGTCGGATCTGACTCCACGGCATTGAGATTTATATATATTTATACCAAAGATTATTAGTGGGTATCGGGGTGGGGGGAAAGGAGAAAGGGGAAGCTTTAGTTTGTGGGCATTGGGTTTATGCTAATGGTGGTGGAATATTTTGGGAAAGGGTAACAATAATGGTGGTACAACATGAAAAATGTCATCAGTGTCTCTGAGCTGCAAATATAGAAGTTGTTATGTTGGCTAATATCTGGTTGTGTGTTTTCACCCAGTAAAAGTGAAAGAAAAAAAAAGGTGAAAAAATCCATTAAAAAAAATATATGTAGATCAGTGCTATTCCATACAATAGCCACTGCCCACATTTAGTTACTGATTTGAGCACTTGATATGTGATTAGTATGATTGAGGAAATGAATTTTTAATTTTATTTAATGTTAATTTAAATTAAATTTAAAAACTGATAGTCAATTCAGTTGTTGGAAAACAGTGAAAAATTACTGTAGTAAAATACATATAATAAAAATTTTGCCATTTTAACCAATTTTAAGTGTATAATTCAACTGACATTAATTATATTCACATTTTTTGTTATTATTACTACTATCTATTTCCAGAAATTATTCATCATCTCAAACAGAAACTCAGTACCCCTTAAGCAATAATGTTTAAAAACTTGTAAGTATGTTTGGAACAATTGAAGTATGCAAATTTACTTTTTTAACTGTAAATTTTATGAAACCTAAATAGAAATCAGGATTTTCTAGTGAAATGTTAGCATCTGAATTGAGATGGATTTCAAAGACTTATGTATGATTAAAAAAATTGTAAAATGTCAATAATTTTTCATATTCATTATATATTGTAATAATAATATGTTGGATATATTGGATTAAATAAAATATGTTACTAAAATTTTACCTGATTTGCCTTTTTTTTAAGATGTGGTTACTAGAAAACTTGAAATTACACATGTGGTTTGAATTATATTTTTTTTGGACATTCCAATGCAAGGCTTTATGATGATGATTATAATGATGGAATTTTGTCCCTTTAATAGTCTAAGACATTTTTAGTAACTAGTGGTAAGTGATTTTATAGATAGTTAAATAGCATTATCTCTTTTGAACTCTCTTCTCATGATGCAGGTCACAATTCACCTTCTCAACCCAAGGAGAATAACATTGGCCAGAGCCATCACCAGGAGGAAATAATCTACAAGTTGGCCATGAAGCTGAAACACATTGGGGACAGCATCAATCATAGGATGGTTCAACAGGTGAGGCTTCAGTTCCCCCAGCAAGGGCTCACCAGGTAGGAGGAAAGAGCAAACAGAACAATAGCTGTCAAGTCGCTGGATGTCCAGGAGGGATCAGAACACACACGACTGGATTATCAAATATGAGATCTAAAAATTGTGAACCTGATTCAAAGCCAGTTTTGATCTTATACTTGTTATTCAAACTGTGGTCCTTGGATCAGTAGCATTGGCATCACCTGGCATCCAGTTAGCTGTGCAGAATCTCAGGCTCCATCCCACACCTTCTGCATGAGAATTTAGGTTTTTACCAGGGCGTGGAACTGTATCACTCCAGTGTGACTTCCTGCTAAGAATTTACAGAATCTACATTTCAAGAAGATCCTCAGGTTCTGTTTCTGTATATCTGAGGTGGAAATTCAAATTCTCAGCAGATGTTCCAATAGGAATGGACCAGTTTGAAGCCTTGTTTTTCATACATTACCCAAGGGATTCATTTACACACTTTGTTCCACACCATCAAACTAGAATGCTCATTAGAATCATTTGGGCCCTATCCCTAGTGATTCTGATTTAATTGGTATGAGGTGTGGCCTGGGAATAAGGCAGTTAAAAAGCTCTCTAGGTGAACCTACTGTATAGTCAGAGACTAGCATCTCTGCGTTAGCTTGTGGTTATCATCCTTGATCCACATTTGAAGGTTATGATCTGCGCCCTACCCTCACCAATTTCTTAGTTTCTCCTAATTATTACAAGGAATAATATAAAGATTTTTAAAACAACAACAACAACCAAACTCACCCACGTCGAGTCATTTCTGACTCATAGGAAATCCTCCTTGGGCTTCCGAGGTGGTATCTCGGCGGAAGTAGATTGCCCAATCTTCCTTCCAAGGAGTGGCTAGTGGGTTTGAACCTCCAGCCTTCTGGTTAGCAGTCAAATGCCTTAGGCACTAAGCCATCAGAAAAAAAAAAACAAAAAAACCCTACTATTTGAAAAATATGTATAGTACCACCTCTTGTTGTTGTTGTTGTTATGTGCCGTTGAGTCAGCCCCGACTCATAGCGACCCCTCCTTGGGTTTCTGAGGCAGTATCACTACGGAAGTAGGATTGCCCAACCTTCCTTCC